TGCAGCCGCCATCTTTGCAAAGGGCAGCCATTCTCCCTTTTTACACACCGTGGCTGCAGAGGCCTGTTGGAGATTTTCAGGTAAGGGGGTGTTGGTGGGAGTGGGGTGGGAGTAAGGTAGGGAAAGGAAGACGGTGTCGGGGTAGGCTGTTGGGATGGCTGTGTGTGTGTGTGCCTATCAGCTTCTGATCAGCTGATTGGCGGCTGGTGGGCAGAATGGACTTATGTGCCATGTGTGGTAAACTCTCCTGGGGGGACCCAATTTGTGGCTGAATAACTCGGATGTCCAATGTCCAATTTTCACCAAAGTTGGCAGGTGTGTTGGGGAAAAACATAGGAAGCTATGTTGTGATTCTGGGGTCTCTAAGTACCTGCGTACCTGGGGGGACTTTTTCTGGGGGTCTTCTTTGTGACTATATAACTTGGGGGCCGGTGATCCAATGTTCACCAAACTTCCAGGAGTTGTAGGAAAGTGTCTGAGGAAGCTTCTCTGCAAATCTGGTGTCTCTAGGTAGTTGGGGGCCAGTGTTGTAGCCATTTAAATTACAGATGAATCGACAGATCGATTTGTTGATTTGTCAAAGAATATTCATATATTTGTATTCGTTGATCCGTTAACCTTGATGAATAACAGATCAAAATGAATGACCATTTTTTAATTTGTCCCCATCGCTAGTAACTATTGAAAATATTAATAATGCTAGAGTGTATGGGCATTTGTACTTCAGGATTAATATCAACATTTCAAGAAACAGTACCTACTTTGTAAATGTTTGCTCCAAACATCTGAGTGTTTTAAGCTTCTTTATTGGGTTCAGGCATATTGGGCAGAAGGGGCTCAATGGTGTAATGACAAGAAATGAATACAGATTGTGGAGTGTGACAACAGAAAAGGGGCAAATCTATCATGTTATTAGTTAGAAAAAGAAACCCAAAGAACATGGTGCTCAATCTAAACCCAAAGAATATGGGGCTGAAGTAAAATGAAAATATAAATATGCATAGAGCACTTTGCCACTGTGAGGCATCGTCTTGGCATTATATATTACCTAATTATTCTTTAAGCTGCTGAGTTAGAACATCAACTTCAACACTTTGTGTTTAATGTGGAGGTAGATTGACTTTACCGAAATTTATCTTATTTTCATAGGTCCCTTTATAGAATGCAGTGTTGATATGGAATGCCACCAAATTAATGGTTAATTCAGGTCTATCAAGTTAATTTAAATAAACTGGAATTTTCTGATGTGATTGATAGAATGTGATTGCTGTTAGCTGCAGTCTCAACCTGCTTTTGACATTTAAACATATAAAGCTGACTACATATAACTGTTCAGGTGCTAAATATATTTTACATCTATTTCTAACAGTAGAAATGGAAGTATTAAGAGATCTAGCTTCATTGTCATTGAACTGTGAAATATTCAACCTTGTCTGCCCGTGCTTAGTACTGTTGACTTTTTTATTTCTGCTGGAAGATTAAAATTAAATGCTTCATTTTTCGTCAGCTTTTGGGAATTAAATTGAAATTTAAGACTCTAAATTTTTTTTAAACCAAGATCCTCAATTTAAACAAAGTCTTCGTTGAGGATATTCAGTGTTCAAGGGCACAGCAGAAAGGTTCATTGATCAAGTATGATGTACTGTAACATTTTTCTTATCCGAGGTCTTTTATGTATATTTATTAAAGATCCCATATTTCATATTATGCTTAACTATACTCGAAGAAGTTCTTCACAAAACATATCCTAAACATAATATGAAGTATCTGTGAGCATATTGCACTTACTCTTAACTTCAACTCTTGGATTTATGGATACAGAGATCCGCTGGTCTTATAAAAGTTGGAAAGGGTCATGGTGTACTTTAAAATGATGTGTTACCATGTATTATCCCACTACTGATACCTGCCAGCTTTAATGAATGCATTTTCCCTCTGATAATTTAATTGCCTCAATCTGATTGGAAAGTCATCTTCAGTTACAATGTGCAGTTTCACTTATTTTTCCCCTTGAACTGATTGTGCTACAAATAACATGACATTTCTGCTTTCATCTCTCTCTCTCTCTCTCTCTCTGTGTGTGTGTGTATGTGTGTTGGATTGCATGTGTGTGTGTGAGAGAGAGTGAGAGTGATTGTGTGAGAGAGAATCCTATAATTCTTTGGTCTGTTCTAGGCAGTTAAAGTTTGTTCTTGAAATAAATAATGGCCAAAATGTCAATACTTCTAGTTTTCAGAATAATCATAAATTCCTGACCATAAAACAGTCATAAAGGTGTAATATTTTATTCACTGTATATTCATACACTGCATGTCATTGCTGTAGAAGGCAGTGAATCATTCTTTCTGTATGGTTTCCCCTCCCTTGCCCCAAAATGGTGCATGTGTGAGAGAGACTTGAAATATTCATTTTAACATTATTTCAGAGAAAAGAATGTAGGCAAAAGCAATAATAGCTCAGATGCATTTGTCATCAAAGTATGTTTTTGTACAAATTAAAAGGAACAATGTTTGAGGTATAATTCTGCCATTAGTAATAACCAAGCATGCTTTTTGCTATGGAAGTCAGGCATGTTGAATATCGTTAACATAGGACTTTCTTCAAAGCTTCATATTTTGAACATACAGGTGCAGATACACATGTGGAAAACATGCTCATAGCTAAAATGTCATGTACTGTTTATATTTTTCGCTCCATAAGACACACCTTTCCATAAGACACACCAATTTTTTAGGAGAAGAAAACAGGAAAATATAATCTGTTTTCTTCGCTCCATAAGACGCACAGACTTTCCACCCCTCTGTTTTCTGGGAACAAAGTGCGTCTTATGGTGCGAAAATATGGTAATTCCCCAGTACAATGAGAAACCGTGAGTGGCCGCAGCCTTTTTGAAGTACAGTATTGGTACCACCCCAGTACTATGAGAAACCGTGAGTGGCCTCAGCCTTTTTGAAGTACAGTATTGGTACCAGCCTTTCTGATTATTGACTTTAGGCTCAAGAGTGGGTTTCAGAAGAACCATGAGGAGCAGTTTTCACAGAGAAATACCAATATTACCTAACTGCCAATTCCATTTTTTAAAAATTAAATGTGCTGTTGTAGAGCTTTTCATGTGGTAGAACTTTAGGTTTCTATGGTTTGAATGGAATCATGTCATCCCACTGACAGAACTCAATTCTGTGAACAGAACTGGGTCAGAGTCCCCTCCCCCTTCAACCTTCCACCCCACCACCCTCAAAATTGACTTCAGAGAGCTGGAAAATGGTTTCACAGCAGACATTTGGCTGGCACAGAGCGTTGTGGGAAAGAAAAAGAGAATTGCTTGTTGTGCTAGCAGGAATGTGATAGCACAGCATGAGGTTCATCCCATTGCCAGGATGCAATTTAAAGTCTCCTTTTTACAATGCTGTTCTAAGGGAATCATTGTCATCATCAAACTGCAAAGCTGGTGAGGACCTGATGGATCATCGAGTTCAACCCCTGTCAAAGACGCACAGTGGGGAATTGAACTCCCAACTTCTAAACCACTGAACTATTCTAGCTGTTCTGAAGGAAAAATAACATATTATCATAACACCTCTGCCTTATCATGGTCATGGGATTGGGTTTTATTTAGCAGAAACTTCTGCAGTACAGGCTTATGCTGGGCCGTATCCCAAGACCTAGCTATTTTATAAGGGACAAATGTTGTGGAACAAGTTCTGTGGCCTCCTTTTAAAGTTCTGTAGTCTCTCATCTTCTAATTATCAATACTGTTTCCATAATAAGGGAGAGCTCATTAATGAAGCCCCATTCTCGCTTAATAACTTTTGTGTTTGAACTTTGGGAAAGTATCTTTAATGAGAAATATGTGGTGCATACCCTAACAGTATCCCTGGAGTTATAAATGTATGCAGTAGGAATTTTTCTTTTTGGGGCTAGGCAAGCTTCTTAAACAGGTTAAATATTGGATAGTCGTTTCCACACCCACCTTTTATTTCCCCCACAAACTGTGATTTCTTTATCCAAGGGTAATATAATATTCTAATTCAACTCCTATCTTTATGCTAAATTTTACTTAGGATCAAAGCCGTTCAAGTGCAAGATTTGCCACTTTGCAACAGCTCAGCTAGGAGATGCCAGAAACCATGTCAAGAGGCACCTTGGGATGAGGGAATACAAGTGTCATGTATGTGGGTGAGTAAATTGAAACAGTTCCTCCCTTGGTTAACAGGAGAAGAGTGCAAGCTATGCATTGCTTCAGCATTCAAAATGGGGATGCGAGGAAGAGAGGCTAAAATTATGCATGCATATCCTCCTTCCCATTGTTATGGTAAATTCCTTAAATGCAGTTATGACATTCTTTTCCTGCTTCTAATCCAGTGCCGCAAATGAGCAATTTTATGGGCTACAAGGTCAATTTGAACCTGTAATCTGTAAATTGACTAAATTATAGGATGTTCATTCACATTGCCAGGGAGAATAGTAAATTCTCTTTTTAAAGATACAAAAAATAGACTTTAATTTGGTGTGCATTTTGTATATATATATGTCCATACAGGTATTTGTGCTATATCTGTTTATATTCTAGCTCAGTGAACAGATTATGGACTTGTGCAGTGCCTTCTGTGCTGCAGGAAGCACAAGAGGAACAAACTTTCAGAAAAACTATCTACTAAAGATGTATATGTTTAAAAAAAATTGAGACATCTTACATTTGTAGCGTCATCTTACAAAACCCTGTTTTCCTTCCTTTTGTAATGGCTATTTTGTCAGAAGGGCCATTCGTAATGTTTAATTGTCCTTCAAATGTGTTGCATTTAATACGGAGGCTCTGAGACTCTTTAATGCAAAGCTAATTAATTTAGCAGAAATGTTTAAAAGGTTTTAAAATGCCATGGCATATATGGTACATCACAGGACATTCAGAGATGGGTTTTAGTGCTGTACGTCTATTAAAAGTGTATTTTAATGTTTTTCTGCTAAAAGAATTAGCTAATATATGCATCATGTAAAAATGGTTTCCTCCAAACAGGTTACATTGCTGCAGAGGCCTAGTGGCTCGTTCACAGAGCAGCAGTGGTTTAGTTAGTTAAACACGGAGTACACCAGAATGGTGAGGTGGATGGTTAGATATTTTTCATACAGACATTTCTCTTGTCAGTTTTTGTAGCTGCAGAACAAAGTAAGCCATGGTTGAAAATAAATAGAATTCCATTCACCAAAACTTGTGACATCAACTTAAAAAATACTGTTAGCTTACTAAGGCTGGTGTTATTCCCTTGTGACAAGAAGAGCTAGAAAGGTAATAATATGAAAAACACTGTATTTCTGAGAGTATTCATGAGAGTAGCCCAGTGTAAAATAATAGAGAAATAGCTGCTGGACTTTTAGCAGAAAAAACTGATGACAAATGCAAAATGTTGTTATTAATCCATAATTATTAATATTAGTGTTATTTCTCCACATTGCTGGTGCATGGGGCAAACCAAGTGGTCAAGCCTAAACAATAGAAGTAAAGTCAAATTTGTGGGTGAGATGCATGTTTGCAAAAAAAAAAATGTGGTTTTTTTTTGGAAAAATCAGGAAGCAAATCAGCAACTTTTGGCAATTGTTACTATTATAACTGCTATTTAAATTAATAGCTCAGGCCTCAAGATTTCCTTGGCTTTCCAGAAATTTTTGTCTGAAAGGCAATAAGTGCAAATTTGTAAATCTCCCTGGGAAACTGAATGTGGACTTGGATCTGAACAGTCCAACATAAAGTATACGTGGGTGATGGTACAAAATTGGCATATGCTTTCTAGTGACCAGTGCAATATTTACAATTAGTATAGTCTTTCATATTTGTGAAGGATGAAACATTTTATATTGTAGAGAGCAATCACTAATTTTACCAATTAAGGAATTCTCTTTACTAGACATTTAATTACATTTATTTGTCAGTCTTTTTAAACATAATACCAAAAATTCTATCTCATTTTTCTGTTGTATTATGTAATTAACTGTGATATTATAAGTATCTTGTAATTGCATGGTGCATGATGTGGCAACTAACTAGAGAGATGCACATGCTTCTGTTGTGTACAGATATTTGGTTATTTGCCAGCAGTGTGTACATGAACAAGAATTGAATTGGATCTAAAAAAGACCAGTGCCCTTAAAACTGTCAAAACAATAAAGAACATATCAGTTTTCAAGTGTGGATGTGAATGTGTGGATATAAGCACAAATTTCTGTGCCTCCATGTGTGTGTATGTGTGTGTGTGTGTGTGTGAAAGAGAGGGTGAATGAGAAGGAATAACCTGTTTGGTTTGTCTGCCATGTTAACAAAAAAGATAGGGTAGTGTGTAGATTACAGCATAAACGTGGCAACATAAAATTGCTGGGATTGGCTATTGGATTAATGGCAGTATAGTGCGTTGGTACATTAACATCACTGACAATGTCAATTCATTATCATTGATAGCTAAATAATCTTAGAAATGCTCAATGGACCTATTAGTTCCTGAACATAAGCAGCTCATGCTGCATTTCTTCATTAGCTTTAATTGCTATAAATTTACCTTTTAAAAAAACATGTTTTAAAAGGTGACACGATCTTTCAGGAACATTAACTTGGTAATTTTGTCACAAACAGAAGGTCTTGTACTATGTTTTCTTTTCTTCAATAGTTAAGAGTCTATATTGTGACTTTTAGATTCTAAACAACCAGCTTTCTGTTAGATAGAAGGTACAAATATTTTCCCAATTGCTACGTGGCCGGTTTGGGCATTTTTTAAAAGGTGAAATGTCAGTGCAAAGCTGTGGATGGTTATGTAAGTTAAGATACTACTTTATTGATTTGAAATAGACTACTGTTATGAATTGGAAAGTGCAAACCATTGTAAAGTATTGCTAGCCTAAATGCTAAAAATGGACAAAATATTTTATGTACTGTATCTCATGCAGCAAAATCATGGAGAGAAAAGAAGATAACGGTGTTTTTTTACACGTTGCTTTTATTGCTTCAAATCTAACTTTAATTTTTTCCAGCTGCACACTAGAAATACTCTCCCATAGAAATGGGAAGCTACTAATCTTTCAACAGTTGAAATAAACCGTCTGCTACTCATTTCCTTATCAGCAGATGTGTGGTGATTGTTTTCCTTTGCTTACGCTCATGAATGGGAAATGCATCCCTTATTTGAGAAGGGTTCTGTTTTCAGTGACTATCCCAACTGCTACCTATTTAAATTTAATTTTCTGAAGTCTGCCTATGAAGTTGTTCATGACACTAAGATTAGCAAATCTAACTGGTTTCTCAGCATTTAGCTGTGTTTTAAAAACTTGCATTTTGCCAATGTGCTAAAAAAGCTTACCATGCACTTTAGAGATTTTATGCCTCAGGTACGTGAAAAATGAATTGTTCCACACTTCAGATTTTGAACAGAATTTATGGGCATCTTATAATTTAAAAATACATCTGCTTTTGCTCTGCCTTTGTTGTGGACATAAAGCTTACAAAAATAAATGTTACAA